AAAATTTAATTAAATCTCTAATTCGGAGCAAATGTATTACAACATATGATTATATCGAATTAAATTCAGGAAAAAATATTAATGTAACTTTCATGTCAATTAAGTTTTATATTTTACTTAAATGTAAAGTTATTTAAAATACTCTGATTTTTATCTTATAACAAATAACTGAATATTTGAATTTGTAACAAATTATAATATAATAAATTCATGAATTTGATTATTTAAATAAAAGTGTTGTATTGAAAACATAATCCGAAATAATATGAATTCATAGAAACATTAGTGTATTTATCATACAATAGAAACTATGGTCTGTTTGTTTGGTTTGAATGCATTATTTCCGTGTTTTCTCACTTCTTAACACTTATTCAAAAACACAAATGACTTACAATTAGAAAAGTATTAATTTTAATTGAAAATGAATCAAAAGTGTTCCCGTTGTGAATGGCACTTCCTCTCACTTTAATTTAACAAAAACTTATATTTGTATTCAATTTCATTCATTTCTATTACTAAATCCAACTCTCGTTACACTTGAATTGGTTATTTGATTGAAGTTTTTGTGTGACAAGAAATTGATGATTTAGTCAATGAAATAGCTCTGAAGCGAAAATCGATGAAAAAATGTCGAAAAAGAAAATTTTTTCTCTCAAGTATATAAAGAAATGTGTAAAACATTTTTAAAAGTTTGTTTCTACTTAAGAGGTGTACAATCAAGTCATACATTTATTTATATTATTAGTAAATCTCAATGTAATCACAATTAGTGCCAATTATGTTAATTAAAGTAAGTTTTCAATATTTAATCCTACCAAAATAACTATAGTAAATATTATTTTAATTAATTCATGTAGCTAAATAACTTATTCTAGCTAAAATGAAGTTTATTGTTTGCTAAAATATTTTATACAATACGTTATATTTTAATATAACTGAAGATATTTTGAAAATACTTTATTTACATGCGAATTAAATAATAATTTTAAATATAAATCATAATTGAAAATTAAGATCTTGTTTGATGAAATAAGTTTCATTTTTTAGAAATAAATTTCAATAGATTTTGTTCACGTTTTTCGTTTCAAACGTTTGAAACAATAAAATTAAAAACTTGTTAAAGTGAGATGTTTTCAAATAGATTAGTTTAAACGATATAATACATCACATAATTTGTTAAATATGTAGTAAATGTATAATTGAGGTTAACTATTGACTTAAAAATTCAAATTTATGCTAATATTTCACGGTATATATCGGATCTCATGATATATATCACAAATGTGTTGATTTTGATGTCTATGAAGACTACCATATTATTAGACAAGTGATTGATTGAAAAATAATGATCTTATGTCTATATTTATAAAAATGAATTTCAAATAAAGTAATTCTCACATTTTAACTCATCATGAATTCCAGTTCACAAACAACTTATTATCTATCGCTTTGTTTTTAATGTCATATCAATTAATGGTTTGGACGGCAGTTCTCAAACCAGCGAATAATTTACAAACAAGTCATCCAAATAAAGACATTAATCCGGAGCCGGCGGCCAACCATCCCCACGAATTCGTGATACCTATACTGTCATCGGCGCCCCAACACAACCCAGAGGTTCCCTACTTTGAAGACTCTCCGAACTACCCTCACGTCCAGTTGCATCAGTATAATGAAGACACCGAAACCATTCAACCGACTCCCGATCCACTACTCAGAAGAGTGGATCAGCTAAATAATAACTTGCGATTAGCCAGTAATGATGAGCCCGACTACTACTACGATCCGGCTCCTAACTATAACCGGGGTCCCGATCCGCCCAGGGATAAGCCAAAGAAGTTGTATAAAGCGATAGAAAGAGTCTATTTCTACCCCCAGGATGAGACAAACCACGAACCGACCAAAAACAAGATGTCAATGAATGAGATGAAGAAGGAGTTTATGCCCGACAGCTATGAGCCCTACTATCACGAGGAGGACCCCAATGATCAGGTGGACTCCAAGGAAGAGTATGAGGACAGACATAGAAAAGACTTGAGACAAATGGATAGAAATCCTGCTAATAATGATGATCAACCGAATTCAGATGAACCAGAACAGTTTTATAATGCAGAACAAGACGAAGGAATGCAAAAGAGTATTGCAGAGGATGTCAAAGATTTTGGTAAAGAGGCCGTCGATGAGACGAATAGATTCGACAAATTTCTCGATAATTTGAGGAATTTTGCGACAAATAGTGAGAAAGAGTATTCTTCTCCTAAAGAAAATGACGAATCAAACGGTGATTCAAATGATTCAGACGTTAGAGACAGTGATGACGGAACCAATTATGGCGAACGAATAGATCCAAACCCAACATATAGTGAGTCATTGGCCGCACAGTCCGGACCCGACCAACAAGAAGACCGGACAAGAGATTACGACAGAGTTGAGGACTATGGGAATCCCGATGAATACGACCCCCAAAGGAAATCATATGAAAAACAAAACGCCGGTAATAATCAAATGGGAAGAGAAGGGCATCGGTATCATAAAGACAGACGAAGACCTCGAAAACCAGTCGTCAATCCCGACGAAAACTATGAGCAGCGCAACCATGAAGTGAGCGGTTTGATTGACTCGGAACCCGATGAGAGTGACTATCTGTCCAATTATGATGTGGTCAAACAGATGAAGAACTCGGAACAGAAATATAATACAGGCGTCGATCCGGTCTATTCATCGAAGAGAGACTTCGATGAAGTGAAAAGACTGGAGAAAATGATCGAAAATGTGGCGCTTCTTAACAAACAGAAGGAAATGAAAGCCGCGGAACAGCACGAGAACAACAGTAGTAATGATAACACCGATAACAGCGAAGGCAGTGAATCCAAGATTACTAACATTAAGACCAAAACTGGATCTAAAACTAAGAGCAAATCTAATAAAACTAAAAAGACATAATTTTTATTTAATTTTTACATTCATTGATTGTATAAATAAATTAAATTGATATTTATATTTATGTTAAATTATAACGACTTTTAAATATATTAAAGAATTATAAGTCTTAATACTGGTCTAGATTTATATATAAAAAGTCAATAAATTGTCTTATATTTTTGTTTATTTTAATATTTTAAATACGATATTAACCTATTATATTAAAACTAGTTGATAAGATTTAAAATGTCCAGAATGTATAAAAAATGTCTTGATACTCAGATAGCAAGATTATTTATTTTTTACAACTAGATATTAAACTTTCTAATAAATGATATTACTTTTCTCTAATAAGAAACATCCATTAATACAAATGACATAATAAATTTTAAAACACAAGTAATATATTTCAAAATATTTATTTAATTAATTCAAGACCAACTTAATAATCTAAATATATTGATATGATTTTTCGATATAGATATAAAAAATAACTAAATCTTTATTTTAAACAGTTGATTAAACTTGTGAGTAATATAATAAAAATATCGCAAAAAGTAATTACAAAAAATCAGTTATAAAATGATTGGATTTGAAAATAATTATAAATTATTTATAGAGTAATGAAAGAATATTCGGTAAAATCAGTGGAGAGTGAGTTGATCTCAACTCTCAATGCCATCGAAATGTTGTTTATCGAGCGAATCATTGCTGGAACTGTGCAACAGATCCGAGTACTCGTCAAACTGTCTTTGCTTTCGGCGGACATTCCAGTGAAGACATTCAGCCAATGAGTCGAACCAATCGCTGATCTGGTCTTCGGCACAAATGGATGGGACGGGAAATATAGATGTCGTCACTCGAAGACTATTCACGAAATGCCAATAATTAGAAATCAATCAATATTTCACACGAATCGCTTGCATACCTGTCCCCGAGTTGTATCTCCTGTCGGTTTCGACCATCAAATGAAACCCACGCAGAGTTGCGAGAGTCGGGCGAAACACATATCTTGAGCTCAACTCCGGCCGGAACTACAATCGGACGGAATGACAGAGAATGCGGGCAAATAGGGGTCACCATAATAGCCGGAACACTCGGGTGGACCATTGCAGCGCCGGCTGCCACAGCATAAGCTGTACTACCGGTTGGTGTGGACACAATAAGCCCGTCCCCTTGAACTGTGGTTATATGTTTGCCATCGATGTATAGATCAATGTTGGAGAGATAGGGTGACGGACCCCTATCCACAACCACTTCATTGAGAACCAAATGACAGGTGTTTTGTTTGGAGAGCTTCTCAATCGCACTAATGGTCTCATTCTTGCGGACAATCAGACATCGGAGTCGACTTCTCAAAGTAAGCGCCGCGTGACCTGAGGTCGTGTAATAGGACTCATGCGTTAGTATTACCAAAGTATGGGCAGTATTGGGAAGACAATGTGGCAAATGGTTACCTTCGAGCACATTTGACACCTGGTCCTGAAAGTTGTCGAATTCAAATGGAGTCAGAAATCCGAGGGAACCCATATGGAAGGCCATCACCGGCGGTACACTTTGCTGTCATATTATACATCACTTTTAAGTTTTATATGTATTTAAGTATTTACTACACAATAATTGGTGCCATAATTCTAATTGATATTCTTAATGGATATTCTAATGAGATTTTCTGTTTATTAATTAAACTAATCACAAGTTTGTTAAAGGAGTGGAATATAATATATAAGAATACCATTGGTTTGGGAAATTAACTTTTAAGTGGTTTTTGTTAAATTACATTTCATTTCTAATATAGTATACAGTATATAGTTTTGGCTGTAAATCACATAATATGAGACATAAGACAATACCTGAAACAGTGAAGAGGCATAGAGGAGAGTGCCGTCCCCGCCCAGGCATATGATGAAGTCCACTTTGTCTGTGAGGTCATCCATGCCCTCCCTGAAAGTGCACAGTTTATCTTTGAACGGTTGAAATAATTGGTTGGTCTTAAGCTGCGGGTCATCCATGACCGCCGACTCCACATAAACAGACATTTTTTTCTCCTGAAAGTCATTTCATAAATTCATAAAATGTTTTGACAAAACAATAAAAAGTTGTCGAAAAGTTTGGGACAATAATTAATGAATACACACAAACTGAGACACAACAAGAGTATGAATAGTTTAGAGATAATGGTAATAAAAGTATAATAATAATAAGTTTGGTGAGAAATACCCAAATAAGCCAACGAACTAAATCAATGAACGGCTGAATGACAAGCGAGTCGTGAATTTTCTTGATAACCAAGACACTGATGGGAGGCTTATTCCACGTCAGCCGCTGACTCGCCGGGTCCTGAATTGTCCTGAAATACATTTGTCGTTTGCATTCATAATTATAATGACATTATTTTCATACATATTAATGAAACTGTCGCTACTTAATTAAATTTACTGTGTTGTAGATATTATTAATTAAATAAGAAATTATTTTAAAATTAAATGCAATTTTATTGACCCAAAACTTTGTCGCTTAGGTTTTTGTATAAATTGTTGTTTCGCCGATTACATGCTTTTTTCAAATTACAGTTAATTAAAGAGATTATTCAGAAGTATTAAAGGAAAATGTTGTACAAATATATGCAATAATATAAGCGATAAAAATGATTTAAATGTAATATTGGGTTTTATATTACAATATTAACAAACAAAATGAAATTCATAATGAAATAAAAGTTTACTTACAAAAGAATTTTTTGTTGCAATTTCATAAACTTCATAACTTATAGAAACATTAGTGTTATCTTAATTCCGAAATAAATATGTGATATGTTATGTCGGAAATGTCGTAAAAAATTAATAAAATTTGAATTAAACTTTATTCTTATATAGAGAGGACCAGTATCACTAAGGGAATGGACTTATTTAAAGTCTTATTGAGAATTTTTTTATAAATTCAAATTATTATTAAAACATTGCGAAGGAGTGTTTATGTGAGTGATAATTAATTAAGATATTAAAGCATCGTTTGTAAACTAATAACCCGCCCTATCAGCCCTTTCTATCATTCAGTACCGAAGGCTAACACAATGTTTTTACATATGATCCGTAATTGTTATTTAAGTAGTAATTAGTCTCTTAAGCCATTCATTGACAAGTTATTCACACTTTTCCAAAATCAATAATAAAAACAAGAAATTACTGACGAAAATAAAGTTTAGCGGACGTCACGTCACGACTGCAGACAAAATCCTTTTCTAAAATCTTTATCCAATTGATTACATCAATAAGACTCTGACGGTATTATAAATTTAATAATAGTCTCAAGTAATAAGTTATATGAATGTTTGAAACAATTCTCTAATTATTAGTTAGCTTTTATTAAGAAAATAATAATACAATACCTATGAGTTCGTGATTGTTTGTGATTATAATTAATTTATGATTAATAACACAAATTGGTTTTTAAAATATTCAGGGAATTACAGCTAATTTTATTTGTTTAATTATTTTAGAAATTCCAAATTTCGGATACAATAACAAGAATTCATAAATTATAACGTTTGAAAAATATCTCCTCTTTAAAAATATTATACAAAACAAAAACTTTATTTGTTTTAAATTAAAAAATAAAGATTATTCTAATTAAAAAAGATTAAACCATAGTTAACGTAATGCATAAATTTGTAGTAAAAATAATTTTATCTATAATGCATTTATTAGAAAGCACTATAACAGATCTGATTTTGATTATTTCAATTTTGATTTATTAAATTATTTTTAATGAATATTTTTCCTTAAATCCAAGTTTAAAAAACATTTAATACGGATATTATGCGGAATTGGTATTGGAATGGAAGTCAACAAAAATTGTTATATAATTTAGATGTTGACAAACAAATTCAAGTTCAGCTAAACTGCTATAAGAGTCTATTTTCAAGTTTTCATTATAATCCATAGGGGAGAGAGAGAGAAAGAGAGAGAGAGAGAGAGAGAGAGAAAGAGAGAGAGAGAGAGAGGTCATTCTAAGAGAGTGTTGTCTGAAAATAATGCTAATATGTAGTGACAAACAAATACAGAATCTGTAGTTTGTGTGACATTGCAATGTATGGACATGTGTTGGAGTGCACGGAGAGTGTCCTCCACTTGGATCTCGACTTCCAGTAGTTTGTAAGTCAGGGTAATTCGGTCAGTGGGTGAATGGCAGCCAATCCATTGCCACCAATCATACTATCTATACATTACTGTCTCTCTTATCATAACTTTGTAATGCGTTGAGCAGAGCATCACATAATGATTGTACATCTTATCGATTAATACAACGATCTTAAGAGATATCCATTAGTTTTTGAACAGTATTTTGAGAGAGAAGGAGACAAAGAAAGAGAGAAAGTTTTAATATAAGAATAATTTAAATAAGTTGTGAAAGTAGACAAATTTTTATTAACTGTAATTTGAATTTAATTGACGTGATTACCAGTACATTGCAATAAAATTTTCAAAATTCTCATAATATGATAATTTCTTATTTTTGATTATTTTTTCATTTAATTAATTTCGTTTTATTAGACTTTTTCAGGAAATAAAATGAGTTTTAAAATAAAACTTACATAACGACTGTTGAATTTTTCATAATACGCCCGCACGGCCCAAACTGGTATATAGGACTGGGTGCATTTAGACTACGAGTCCGCCTGTAATCATAATTAGATTATCTTAATTAAATAAAGTAAATTAAATAATTAGTATAATATAATTAGTTAAACATATAAAAAAAGATTAATGATAAATAGATTTCATTCATAATCCAGTTACTAAATTTCAATTATTAATTATACAGAATTAATGAAATTTTTCTAAATAAACACTTAACAGATATTTATCACACAAAGTTGCCATTTGTTATAAAATTAGATCAATTGGTTACCATTACTTCTTTTGCAAATATTGTTTGAAATAACTTTTAAGAAAATTAATAATTGATTTTCATGTCTAGTAAGAATAGACTTTTCATATTTGAAAGTAATATTAAATTGTCGTCAATATTGAAAAACCGGTGAATTTGACTCCTAGTGAATGCAATTTACGCTTACATTTGGCATAATTATAATTATGGCATCCAATTGGTTGCCTTTCATTTTACGCAATTCTTTATAACTTAATAATCGTTTAAAATTTTTATATTAAATATTTAATAAATACTTATTGAATAAGTTTTGCGTTAGAGTCTGATATTTGCCAAAAATTACTAGTGGTTTATATGATTAAGTTAAGCATCAAGAGATACAATGTATTTGAAAACTTAACATATTCTTCGGGGCTATTATTGTATTAATAGTTAGAATTTGAAATATTTTTTATATACATAAATACAAAACATTGAATATATAACTAATAATTAGCTGAGAGTCAGGTCTCTATTCATTAGACGTGTAGTTGTATTGATTGATAGCAATGAAGGAGCAAAAGAAAATCACGTTATAATGTAAGTATGGAAAGTACAGTGTATTTGCCATATTATGTCTTATTCTTGTATACAGTATTCATATAATATTATAAACTTATTATTTATATTCAAAAACCACTTAATTATAATGTCCTTCGCTTTGAACACTTTCTACAAGATTACAGATGAGAGGCTCAACCAAATTGGAGGGTTCACTACATTTCGCAAATTGTTTCGTATCTCCACAACTAACTTACAATTCAGTCTTGATTTGTATTTTTATGTTTGGATTCATATTTGAATATTATATTGAAAAATCAATATTTTAAAACTCGTCGTTCAATAGCAATCTAAACACAAAAGCCAATCACAAGGCTATCGCAAGAATTATGTTAATATGAAATCAATTTATGAATAAATGAGAGATACATCCGATATAATGGCCTTCTCTTTGATTATTTGACATTTGTTTCAATAATTGAGAGAAAGTTTCTCTAAGAAATTACTGGATAATCAAACATTTCAACATTACAGACATACAGTACACTAAAGTGAAGGACATTTAAAAATTAAAAATTAATTTGATTATCAAATGACTATTAATAATGTAATTCAGTATAAATGGGTACATAAGAAATGATTTTGAACTCACATTCTGTTTATAATACAAGACATTTGAATTGAAATAGTCTTATAAAACCAATGAATAATCAATGGCACCAAGAATTTGTATGTTTGAAATGCACTGTAAGTGTACTATAAATGCACTAAAACAAGAATATCATATGTTTTATGAAGTTTGTGTGGAATGGTATGGAATGACACTCATATTTATGTTAATAGTCTACTCATACGGTATCTCACATATAAACAGCACACAACCAAAACTATTGATTTTTATAACGTTTATTATTTCAATCGATAATAACATAATTACTTAATTGTTATAATTTAGATAAAGAACACTTGAGTTGTTATTATTTAAGTGGTTTTTAATTCAAATGATATATAATAAGCTAATAATCAATTATTTGTCTTAAGTCTTAACCTTTAAATAAAAAATGATATTAAGAAAACTTATGCCAACAACACCTGTATATAACAAAATTCTGGAAACTGATTAAATGTTCATTTATTTAGTTCATTAGTGCACCAGTAGGTTTAATTATACCATATTGTCACACCTCTGATCGGATAGGCATGTGCTGATTAAATTGGTTTTATAATTTTTGTTGTTTGATAAATAATACAAATTGATAAATTAATCGATTATAAAGTTATATAACTTTTATTATTAAGTTACCATGTAATTTAAATTGGAGTAAATATAGCAAACATTTTGTTTGCATTTAATGGCAAACAACTAGTTTTGTATTGAACTCATTTGTCCCAGACAACCTTATTTATAACAAATGAAAATCAATATTTAAAACTCGGATAAAATATAAGTTATTTGTACAGTATATGAGTAAAATGTCCGAGAAGTGTTTGAATATATCATAAATAAACTTTTAATTAATTAATTAATTAGGATAATAAATAATCTAACAAGTACGTTATATAACAGATGAGAAAAATTATAGTAAATTATTTGTTAATAAAGATTTTCATTTGATAAAAGTATAGACATTGAGAATATCTAAAGAACGAGACATTCATTTGATTCCGCATTTCATTACCATTGAGAGGAACCCATCGAAAGTCGATACCTGTCTTAGATATGGGTCAGTGTTAAGTAAAGCAAAGTTTTATTTATAGTTTTATAATTACTAAAAAACAAACAAAATTATGACTTTTCAAATATTCTATAATTTAATATTTATATTGAAAATTCATTTTATTTTGAAAGTCATACTCCGAAGGAGATTAAAATAGCATAAGTTTATAAATAATAAGCAAACTACTACTGTACTTCATTTAATATTCATATTACATGAAACTTTTGTAAATATAAAACTCAATAATCAATAAAGTAAGTCTATTATGATCAATATTTCAATTTATACCGAATTATTATCTAAGCATATGGTAAACAAAAGCAAATACAGTATAATTAATGAATAAACTATTAGATGCCATAGAGATAAAGAGATTAAAAATAAACAAATTAGATGGTAGTTTGTAATAAACAAATAATTTAATAAATAATTACTTACTCTAAGCATTCCTCGAGAGTCTCGTTCTCATTGTGCGGACAAATATGATTTGACAGCAAATTATTGACTGCATTCATAGCCTTAGATGTTGTCATTTGAATAGAATTTGTTTTGAACAAACAAAGCAAGTCTTGAAAAGTAAAATATTATTATATAATAAATAAGAAATTTCTTTTGTGACCCTTTATTCTAATTATACAGTTCTGTGAATTTTGGCTCAATTATCATATAATGTGAAACAAATTAAATAAAACCGATTTTCGCGTAAAGTATAACTTTATGTTATACTTGATATACTGGAAGGAAAACTCTTTGAAAAAATCACAAAACGATTCTTTAAAGTCACTTAAAGTAAGACAAAATAGGATATCATAATCATAATGATAGCTTTGAGAATCACGTTCACTCGATGTTTGGCTATACTTTATATAAGACTTATATTAATACAAAAGTGTATTATTACCGTGTAATCATTTATGTTTCATACATAATGCCATTGAATGTATGATTATCTCATCAGTAAGTATAAAGTGTCTGTGCCTTTGATGTGTACCTGTGCTGGGGTTGTGATGAGAACATCAATGAATTCGGACTTTTTATCAATGATTTTATTAACAATTTTGTCACAATTCTAATAAAAATGATTTTTTTTGTATTTATGTCTCCCACTGACGGACTATCACAAGGAGACTATCTCTTAAGGATAACAACAATTCAAATGCATTTAATATTCTTTATTTAGACCTTATTTTCATCTCTTAGTTTGTGTACAAATTATGGCACAATGTTATCACAAAATTACGGAAACCACATTTTAAGTGCATTACTAATATTTGTCGATTTTATTAATTAATATCCTATTGGTTTTGATAACTTCAGTATAACACCTTTAATTACATACACTTTATGTACTAAATGTACACAACTTTAATGATTACAAATATACAAACTCATTAATATAGTTATTAATGACAGAATTAGCGCACAACTATTGTCAAATAATTTGAAATTATCAAATCACTGCCACCTAATATACTATTATATATATACTATACTATTATGATTTCAATTTATTCTGTATACCATAAAAGTGTTTATTTTGAGTAAATTAGATATTACTGTAGAATAAATTAATACTTCCGTGTGATTATAAATTACTAATTATTTGCTTTCCTATCGATAAGAAAATCGATATGACTTTTAAACGTTAAACTAATTCTTATTTAATATGTTTACAAAACTTACATTTCTTTTACTATGAATATAATTATATTAATTACCACTGAATCTAATAATATAAAGTGAATGTTTAAAGTTATAACAAAAACATAAATAAAATAATTCTTTTAGTTCTAACGTTAAATACATTTACGAATAACTTTTCACAAAAATATTGGAAAATCAAATGTTTGAAGGATTAACAAGCAAACAAAACTGTGTACTGACTCATAATTAAAGATTTAAGCTTGAAAATAATCTTTCAGGAAATCAAAATCTTTTTTATTTGTAATCAACTCTTTGATATACAGATAAAAGT